GTGTGTGTGTGTGTGTGTGTGTAGATGTGAATGAGTGTGTGCAGTCCCCAGGAGTGTGTTTGGTGGGAGAGTGTGTGAACACCATGGGAAGTTACAGGTGTGTGTGTCCGTCTGGGTACCGGAGTAGCGGCGAGCAGACCAGTTGTACAGGTAATGGCGACTTCCTGTTGTTGTTTGGTACTGATGTTAACGCTCAGTGACTTCAGCCGCTCGCTCTCGGTCGTCCACAGACATCGACGAGTGCCAGCTGAACCCCTGCAGGAACGGTCGCTGTGACAACACGCCAGGCAGCTACAGGTGTGTCTGTCGCCTTGGTTACAGGCTCACAGGCAACACCTGCACAGGTAAAGATGCTCTGTAGCATCTGATGAGATCAGACACGTGTTAATATTCAATCACATGAAACAAAAGAAACGCAAATGAGTTTGTGTGTGTGTGTGTGTGTGTGTTTCAGATGTGGATGAGTGTGACGACCCTCTGCAGTGTCCTGGTCAGGAGTGTATCAACAGTCAGGGATCGTACCGCTGTGCGTCCTGTCAGCCTGGATATGGACTTATCAACCAACTCTGCACAGGTAACACACACACACACACACACACACACACACTTGTTGGATGACGAATCAAAAAATAAAGCCGAAGCAGGAAGCTGTCACAATGTGAAAACTACAGACCTGGTGGTCAGAGGTCAGAGGTCACTCAGCTTCAACACTGGGAAAGAGAAGAAGACAAATGGAGGACCCATAACTCCCCAACAACAACAATCATATCTCTTGTAAAGATCACAGTTAAAATACAAAATATAAATTATATAATAGTAGTAATAGTGTATTTGTTGTTTCTGAGAATCATGTCTCAGTGTCGTTCTTCAGGTGTCACTGATTCTTGCTGATAAATCCAAACCTCTCTGTTGTGTCGTCTGCAGACATCAACGAGTGTCGTCAGAATCCCTGCTCCAACGCTCGCTGTGAAAACACACCCGGGAGCTACCGCTGTGTCTGTCGCCACGGTTACAAGCTCCAGAACAACACCTGTACAGGTAAAGACAGAGGAGATGAGCCTCAACACTGACTCCAGTGTCACGTCTGTTCACAGATCAAGCTACAGTCTGTTAGTTAGCATAACGACTGGAGTGTGTGTGTGTTTGTGTGTGTGTGTGTGTGTGTGTGTGTGTGTTCAGACATAGACGAGTGTGCGGAGCCATCTCAGTGTCCTGGTCAGATGTGTGTGAACACGGTGGGATCATACCGCTGTGTGTCCTGTCGACCAGGATACACACTGACCAACAGACAGTGTACAGGTACACGTAAACACACAGACACACAC